ATTCGGGCATTGACCAATATCAAAATCATTACACGCAGGGTCTGTTTCTTCTTCTGAAACATCATCAAAATCCGTGTATTGACCAATATCAAAGTCCGGATATTGACCAAGACCAAATTTCGAATACTGACTAGTACTCACAATTTTTTCTGTTGGCTCATCATCGTCTAACTGGTCAATACGAAAACCGGAATTTGGTGCTGAAAGTTGATTGGGATTTGGATTAGAGAAAGGTTGTGGGTTTTGAGAAAACTTAGTTGATTACTACCCGCTACTGACCCAACAATACTACTTCTAGGTTCAACAACATACAATGTAACATCATCTTGTGAAACACTAATGTAAGCAATGAATCGTTCAACATCTTCATTGTCGGTTAACAAATAAACTTTACCATTTCTCTGATAAGATAGCCTAAATCCACTTAGGGGCTCTAAATTCAATTTATTTGAAACACGTAGCATTAGAGTTTCATAAGTTAACTTTTGTAAAGACAATTTTAGTTGAAGATTCATGGGTAAAGGCATATATTGTAAAACACCATGAACATTATCCCATGACCCTCCAAAACACAAATCTATCCAAACATGATCAACATTAGATGATTTCATGGTTGTAAATTAATTTACTAAACAGACGAGCTGCGAAACTAAAACCTGTTGCCGGATTGGGAAGGATGTCGTTGGATATAGGAACGGATGTCGCCGGAGAGAGTGATAGATGGAGATGGAATGAGTTGCGATTTAGGGATTTAGTTTATGATTTGCTGCTGTTGCGTAGTTATATACCCAAAATTTCAGTGTTGTGATTTACAGATTCTCGTTGCGATTTACTGATTATCGTTGCGATTTACGGATACGCGTTGCGATATACGGATACGCGTTGCGATTTACGGATACACGTTGCGATTTACGGATACGCGTTGCGATTTATGTGTTCGCGTTGCGATTTATGTGTTCGCGTTGCGATTTTCATATTCGCGTTGCGATTCTGTAAAATCGCAATGCGAATTTGTACTATCGCATTGCGATTGTCAAGAATCGCGTTGCGATTTTGGAAACTGGTTTGCGATTCTGGGGATCGCGTTGCGATTTTTATTTCGCGTTGCGATTTTGTTGGTCATTTTGGCAAATCCAAAAAAAATTGGTTAAAATCGTATATTATAAGGCATTTTTGGTCACTGAGGCGATTTTCTCTATTTATAATTAAGATAAATAAACATCCTTTTAAGCCCGTTTCAGGATGGGTTCGTACCTTGTATGAAACTTTAATACATAGTTTTAGATAAATACATTGACTTCACAAACTAATTTAATATATTTTATATTTGCATGAACTAAAGCAAACATGGTGGTAAAGAAATTATTGTTATTTCTTAAGGTCATGGGTTCGAGCACAAAAAATGTTAAGGTATGAACATTTAATGTCAAATGATTGAAAATTATTTTTGAACATATACTACCTTATAGTTATCTCATATTAATTAAAAAAACTACATTCAAATGAAATGATATGATCAATAATAATAAAGTATAGATTTAATAATAAATTTTAAAAATAAATCGATTTAACTAAATTGAATAAAAAGAAAACCTGAAAGATAAGATATCTAATTTAACCCTTTCTAATAAAGTTAGACACTTATTAAAGTACCACATTTTACGTTTCTATTGGTTGTTAATATTTTTAAAACATAATTAATTATTTTGAGACAACTTAGTAACGAAATTAAATGTTATGTGAAGAATGTTTTAGAAAAATCTTCAGAAAATAATTATTTAAAATATATGTAATTTAAAGGGTAAAGAGTTTATTAAACTTTTCTTAATGATTAATTGAATTATATTATCTTTAGATCACTTCTTAACAATTATAGGAATTTAATTTAGACAAATGACATATATTATTAACGGAAATGATACATCTTACTTATTAATTCTTTGATATTTTCGCATCAATTTAGCCCTTAAAATTGTTTAGCGGCATCATCCTAACCCTCAAAGTCCGTTGTCCCTTTTGAACAATAGAACAATGAGTCTTCTGCGTCTGTGGATTAAAAGATTAAGTTAAGATATTTACTAAACACAACAGTTACAAAAATTTTTCAAAATTTTATTATTTATTTTAGTAAGATTAAAGGATTATGTTAAAATTTTGGAGATTTTTCCTAACCGTATTGTTTGGTAAATATTTTATTATTATTTTTTTAATAAATATCACATCGTCATTAAGCCACGTCATAATATTTGTTGACGTGGAAATTGTTGGCTTCCACAAACACATAAAACTATTAGTTCTGTTACTTAGAACTGACTTCGAGAGTTAGGATGATGCCCTAAACAATTTCGAAACTAAATTGATGCGAAAATACAATAAGAACGAAAATGATAAATTAGATCTACTAAAAAGATAAAAATAACCTTTAACCCTTAAATAAATATGTTTCAATCAATACCGAGAGTTAAAAGTTATCTCAAATTCTCATTAGGAGGTTTCATTTGAATTTTAGTGAAGTCCTTTTAATTACAATAGTATGAATATTTTGAGCCACCTAGTGGTAAAAAAGAATTTTATTGCTTTTATAAATTTTTAAGTTCGAGCAATTATGTTTATAGGGTATGTATACGTCTATTATAAAATGATTAAGAAAATTCATAATATATACTACTACCTTCTAATAGCATCAGACTAACTATCTATAGAATGTTGTTCTTTTTAAATGTCCAAAATTTGAGCAGTTATGTCTACAGAGTATGTACATCTATTGTTAAATGACTAAAAAAAATCTGAATAGTTATTATATTATAATCATCCTATACTAATAAAAGAAATTGCAATGATAGTATATGTGTTTCGAGCGTGTTATAATTTTATACACATATATTTATTTGTTCTTATAAGTAGTGTTGATGTTATATTTTGTATTATGTTACATTTTTTTCATAATTTATTTAAGTAGTTTAGTTTATCTTATTATTAATTGAATATATTATTAAGGTAAATACAAAAATTAGTTCTTACATATTTCACATTTTAAATGATTTAGTAACCATTTTTGGTGCTACATGTTGCTGCAAGATGGACCACTTCTTAGTCAGGCAAACATCGTTATTGCCAATGAAGAAAAGAAACAACAGTGGATAATATGTTCTTTTTTTCATTTCCCTATATTATTTAGTTTCATTCTTTTGTTTATATATCATAATACATTTATAATATAATATGAATTAAAACTTAACAAATTAAACTTAAAATAAAAGGTTACTTTTATTCATGTAGTCAGGATGGACCTAGAGGGGCGGGTGGGGGCGGTCGCCCTCTAAAAGTTTCAAATTCTTATATATATATGTTAGATATTTTCTTTGTATTTTCTAATGAATTTCGCACCTACTTAAAATTTTATAATTTTATAAATTCGACCATCCTACATAAAATCATTTGTTCGTCATTGCTTGTAGTAGACTCAATTTATCATTTTTCACCTCTATGGTATTGTTGAAACGATTTTTTTTCAAGCGGGGAAACGAGATTTTGAAAACCACGTCATTTTAAAATGATTCTATTTATGGTTGATTTTTTTAATTAAAAACAATGCAATTTTAGAAAACCTCTCGTTTCGAAAATTTTGGGATTCTTTTTTAAAATAAAACATACGGTTCGAGGAATCTTCACCAATCTTTAATTAGGGTATGATTGGGCATCCAAAAACGTTTTTTCATTTTAAATAATAATTAATTTTAATTAAAACAACAAATTTAGGTCCGCTTTACCAGAAAATGAGTTCGGGAGTCGGTTACGCGTGGGGAAGGATTAGCACCCCCACAACGCCCTAAATCGTACCTCGTCGATTAATTAATGTCTTCACACTGTAATTTATAAATTCGAGATTAATTTGGTCTATGATCCCCGACAAAACAACAACACATGAATTTTACCATATTTCAAAGCACCAAAATTGATTAAATTAAAATTACAAAGCCTTTAGAAAGATAAAGAATATTCGATTATTTACAAATATCGAGACGAGATCTTCGATAATTCTAACTCTCTTTTCTCGATAAATTTAAATAGCCGAATATTTCTTTTTCTTTCGTTCCCAAATTTTAAAATGATGGACCAATTTTTTTAAAGAGTCAATAATGGGATATACTTTTAATTTAAAATCGTCAAAAGCAGATATCTAATCAGTTAAGACAACCCACTTAAAATAATTTTAAATTAAAAGAATATTACCCTTAATTAAATTATGTAGCTAACATGCAAGTACTAAGTAAATAATGCCACACATTAACAAAACATTTAAGCTTAGAATAACACATGCCCTTGTACGCATGATTAAAATGCAAACATGGTAATGAAACCTTAATATTTTAAAGTTATAAAATTTTGTTATTACCGTATTAACATAACATGTGATAAACGGTTTTCATACTAAATTAATTAATAACTAAAATATTATATTAATTTTATTAATTTACAAAAGCCTAAAATAAAATTGGGTGATATGGTACATACATGCATACAAAATGAACGTGCATTGAAGTAAAACGACATAAAATTAAATATGCTTTTAATAACTCAAGTCTCATATTCAAAATTTCCATAGAGACCACAGTGAAAGAAAATTAGGCTAACACTAGAAATTACCCACTAGAATAAACAAGTCAACAAGTGATTACATTGTCAAATATTTAAAATTACAAGACACAATTAAAAACAAACATAAACTGAAGGAACATGTAAATGTATGACTAAAATAAAAGAATCCAAAAGAATGAGAGCCGAATTAAGATAACAGGAAAGATTCTATTCGAGGACTAAATTATAATAAGCTAAGGAGTACTGGATCTCGCCCCTAATTACCCCCTAATCACCTAATACGTGGTTCATCTCCCCCCTGGACTCCAAAACGATGCCGTTTTGGTCTCATCTGAAACGACGTCGTTCCGGAAGTTACTTATATAGGATTTTTAGGGTAAAATCTTTAGCCTGATTCATTATTTCCCTAACCCTCAGCGCCGTTCTCTCAAACTTTCTCCTTGCTTCATCCTCAACCCTCACTGAAACCCTCCGAACGCCACAGCCTCCGCCGCCTATTGGCTCCGATGAGAGCCTAGACATCACCTAACCTATTCCGACCTTAACCCCTCCAAATACCAACCTAAAAAACAAGACCCAAAACCAAACTACCTTCAAAAAATTCCCAACCAGTTTCAAAACTCCGGTAGCCACACAAAACCACGGCCGCCGTGGCCTTCCCCCTTCCCAAACGACTCCGATGTTATGTCTAAAGGCCCGATGGAAACCCCTAAACCGCTATTTTCTTACCACAGACCCTAGATCTAGCCCACTAAAACGGAACCCCCACCTCTGCTCGAACTAGACGAAACCAAACAACGTTAAAAGAAGGGAAACGGTGGCTTACCCTCGGTCTTTCGCCTAGGCGCTCAAAGCTCGTTCCAAGGTCATTTGGGTAAGAAAGATTGAATCTTTTCTTCTTTTTTTTCGTTTCTGCCTGGGTATTTTGGTGTTTGGCTTTTTGTTGTGCTAGTGACTATTGTTGGTATTCGATTGAGTTGCTCTCTTGTTCACTCGATGACTACGGTTTCTGTGTGTTTTCTTTTTGCTCCGTGTTCTCTCGATTATTTCTGTTTTTTTTCTTCTCTTGTTTCCTGTTCTGTTTTTCTAGTCGATCTCCTCGGTTTTTGCTTCCTCGTGTTCTGTTTGTTTGGTGTGCAGGCCTCGGTGAGCACGGGCGGAAGTAATGGTGGTGGCCTCGGCCTCGGTGGATGGCCGACAGGCGTGGGTCTCCCTCGATAAATTCGAGCACTGTCTTGGGTTCTCTGTGCAAGCTGGTTTGCGGCTCAAGGAGGACTGGGAGCTGTTGGATCTCGTTAGATCCAACGGTGATAGCTTGACGGTGCCGGAACTTAAACCAAAAATCCTAATGGTCCCTTGATCTGGACCGTTAGATGAGAAGCAGATCTAACGGTCCAGGGCATGAGGCAGCTGGATAATATGATGGAGACTAGGGTTTCCACAATTGGGCTACAACAATGGGTTTCAACATCCAAGCCGGGCCTGCTTTGATTTGGACTCCATTTGGGCCAACCTGGTCCAATCTGTTGTAATTTGGACTATAACAAACATAAATAAGACATTAATTAGTATTTATTTATTTACTTATATATATATATATATATATATATATATATATAAGTAGGACACTATTTATACGTACTCATAATAATAAACATACTCGTATGTATTACTAATATAAAGTACGTGACCCCCTACTGGATAAAATGAGCATTTACAGGTATTTTTGCATTAATTTAGTTCTTGTAATTGTTTAGCCGTATCATCGTAACCCTCAGTCTGTTGATCGTTGTGATAAAAAAAATCGTGAGTCTTCTACGGTTGTGGATTAAAGGATTAGGTTAAAATATTTATTAAACACAACGGTTTGAAAAAGTTTTCAAAATTTTATTATTTATTTTAGTAAGATAAAGGGATTATGTTAAATTTTGGAGATTTATCTAACGTTGTGTTTAGTAAATATTTTATTATTTAGTTTTAATAAATGTCACATCGTTATTAAGCCACATCATAATATTAGTTGATTAGAAATTGTTGGCCTCCACAAATACATAAAACTAATAGTTTATTAGTTAAAACTAACTTCGAGAGTTAGAACGATGTCCTAAACAACTTCGAAAATTAAATTAATACGAAAAAATCATAAAAATAAAAAAGATAAATTGTACCTTTAACCCTACAAATATTAAGATCACTTCTTAATATAATAAGAAGAGAGCCGGCAGTCGGCATTGAGAAAGAAACAAAGATAAAGGAAACCACATTTAAAGAGCATAAAAAAAATCAACAACCAGTTGGTTTAGTGAGATGATACATTGAATCTTTTAAGTAAATTCAAATATTTGAATAATAATATACTTTTCGGGTTTTTTAACTTTAAATATTAATATACTTTTTTTTTCATAGCATCACATGTGATTTTCATGCTTCTTATGTTTTTTTATTTGTTTTTTTCTCAATGATTAATTGGGTTATGCAATCATTGGTTATATTTTCGTGACAAGATCGATACTAAAATGTTTGCATTTCACCAATCTTTCTTCTCATAAGATTATGTTTCCACGAAACCCACTCAAAATAGACGAAAATCTATTTAAAAGTCCGACATATTAATAATTTGATAATTTTCAATGATTGTCATGAGACTAGTTTTGAGGTATGTTGTTCATCTTCTCGAAATAATACTTTTCATCATTGAAATTTTTGAATAAACACCCAAAATCCCATAAATATAAGATTTTAAGTAGATTTTTTTTGTTTATTTCATGGAAAACTAATTCTATGAGAAGGATGAGGAGTAAATTGCGAACATTTTGGTACCAATTTTGCCACGAAAGACGATCAGTGATGGGTGATGATTGACAGCCAAAGGCGGCCAGAAAGTGCAGTGCCAAAAAAGTAAACTATTTAAAAGTTCAGTGACAAAATTGATATACCCCTAAAATTTAGTGTCTAAAATGTGGTTGTTTTAGGTATTAGAACAATTGTACCAAAACAATGTCATTTTGGTGTGATAGGTCACATTAGCAACAATTACACATGTTATTTTTCTTTTAGTTACTTAACGACAAAGTGACATACTTGATGTAAAACTAAATTTCAATGTTATAATTTATAAAATTGAAAGTTCAATGGTATAAACAAGTCAATGGGAAAATTCAGTGATATATGAAGTAGTTAATCCGAATATTAATTAAGGTAAACTACCTGTTTAGTACCTAAACTATTAATTTTTTCCTTTTTGTACCCAAACTTTATTTTTTCAAAATCATACCTAAAGTTTAATTTAAGTTTAATTTTGGTACCCCGCCTTTAAAAACTTAATGGTGATGTTGATGTGTCACCATACGGTAATGCCATGTCATCATTGAAAAAGTTAAAAAAATGCACGTCAATAGTTCTGTTAATTTTTTAACGACGGGTATCAAATTGAAACCTAAACTAAACATTAGGTATTTTTAAAAAAATTAAAGTTTGTGTACCAATACAAAACAAAAGTAATAATTTATGTATTAAACTTGTAACTTACCCTATTAATTATTGTTTATGATGAGGATATTTAAATCATTTCACAATCGAGTAAGAACTCGATTAACTGGTGGCACCATTCAATTATGCAACTCATATATAGTAAGTATAGATACATTAAATAAAAAATATTGTTGACACCGTTGTTCGTCTGGGCAGGGAAAGACCGATACTGACTCGGGGATTTTTCTTTTGAAAATGAATTTGAAATGTGAGGAGTTGTCACTAATCATTTAAGGTGCGATTGGGACACCATAAAAACCGAGTGATTTTAATAAAACATTTTATTTTTATCAAAATACCAGGTTTTAAGGTCTGAGAAAATCCAGAAATCAATTTCGGGAGTCGGTTACGCATGGGGAAGGATTAACACCCCCACAAGCACCCAAAAAATGGTACCTAGTTGATTACCCTATATTTAAAATAAAAAATTTTGAGTTCGAACTTCATTTAATTTAAAAATCATTAGTGATGCAAAGTTGAAAAGGTATTCGATTATTAAGGCCGATAGCATTCGCGCCCTAGCATAAACGCGATATATTAGCTATTGTGTTTGATAATCGAATATTGCCTCGACATTTTAGAAATTATGATGTTGTTTTGAAAAGTATGTCGACCTATTTCGGGAATCACCAATAGTCACCCCCTGAGCATACTTGTGGGAGATATACTATTAATTCCCTAATAAATGAACATTGCCTTAGATTTAAAAATAAAATGCAATCAGACAAATTTTTATTCATCCTAATTAAGCTAAGGGTAAATTAAGACTTTTTCTAACTTAAAGTGTCGAATTATGAAAATTAAAGAACCTAAAGGCACAAACCTAGAAGTGTAGGTTCTAATATTAGCCCTATTTGATTTATAAACCAATTATTGAATCCAATAACCGAGATGGTCCCTTGAGCATTTACGTGAGGGCTGACTCGAATTATTCCATAAATTAAGAGGACTATAGTGAGATCTAGCTAAAAGTGGAGCCTATATTTAATCTATTTGATTATGTCGATCTTAAAGGTCTATTTGAAGTTTAGAGACTAAAAGGTGAAAGATCTAAAATATCGAGTTCTAAGAGACTAAGAGTTTAGGGACCTAAATCAATAATTTCTAAAGTTGAGGACTAATGAATAAGCCAAAATCCTAAATATTATTTAAATTTAGCTATTAAAAAGGAATTAAACCTAAAGTTTTTTTTAGAAAATAATGATGATTAATAATTTTTTTTTAAAAAAAGTTGAGCAATCGATTCGAGTAATCAGGAATCTTAAGCGAAAACTCGACTCAAATTGCTCCCTAATTAACACCTAAGGAGTCGTCCTAATTTCTAAGTCCGATTTGAGTGATAACCTAATCTAAAAAACTAAGTCTCAAGATTTAAACTATGAAATAATGAATTATTTAAACAATCTAATTTAAATTTACCAAAAAAACACACAACATAAAAAATAAAGATAAATTAAGCATGCACAAGGACCAAATTGCATAAATATCGAATTACTAAGCCAAAAGAGAATATATACAACATATAATAAGGGACTAAATTAAACAAATTGAATTTTGATGGCTAAATCAAAACAAAATAAAAAAATAGATTAGGGACTAAAACTTAAAAACACACATAAACTATAGGGACCTAAAAGTAATTATTCATTTTATTTAAACCTAAAATAAATTTGTAATAGGACTGCCTAAACGATTTAGGATATGAATTCATTAAGAGTATTTATTCAACCTTTATGTCGGTAAATTTATCAACTCTTTCTCATTAGGACCACAGAAAACTTAAGTTATGAATTTATTAAGAGCAAAGGCTCAACCTAATGCATGGACATTAGTCGTCATAGCTAGGTATAGGCAAGAATGTACATTGTGAGTATTTCTATTGCTTAATGACGTGGTTGTCGAAGCCGTCAAAAATAAAACTTGCTTAAAAAAATTGAAGTAGCGGTAAGCAGATTCATTATTGAACCATGTTATCTAATATTTTGATATAACAAATAAAGATAAAATGTTTTGGACTTGATTGAATTTGTTCAACTATTTCAAAAATAATTTAAAGTCCACTAAACAAGAATTTGAACACAAAATATTTGTATGAGAAAAAATAGTATCGACAATGTTCTTACAGTATCGATGCTGCATAAACAGTACGATAATGTTCTCGTGGTACCTATACTACATTAAGAGAAGTATTGATACTCTCTTGGTAGTACCTATTCTACCCGTTATTTCAAACTTGTTTAGATTCTAGCATGTAAAATTGGTATCGATACTACTTTACATAGTAGTATCGATATTATCTAAGCACAATGGTTAGATTTTTAAATATAACAAAGGAAGTACTAATACTTCCAATGGAAGCACTGATATTTCTTGTTCTGAGCAATTTTATTTTACAAAAAATTAAAGACCCCAACGCTACAAACTCATTGTAAGATATAAAAACAATCCAAGAACACTTGAACAAGGTTACTACACCTATATAAGCTTAAAGATCAAGAGAAAAGTGTATTTCATTCTTCTTTTTCATTTTCTCTTCTTTTCTCTTGTATATAGTGTATAAAGCTTCATTGAATATCTTTTGTATTCATTCTTGTGACCTTAATTCTTGTAAAAACCTACCTTGAGAGGTCTTCTTGTTTACACAAAGTAAAACTTTGTAAAAGGGAGGGGTTATAGTTTAGCCTTTGAGAAAAATTAGGGAATTGTAAAGGATATACCTTATCCTTGAAAGGTAAAAACAAATTAGTAAATTTGTTAGAAAAATCTTAGTGTGGAGTTAAGATAGTGGATGTAGACTTGTTTGAGATGTTGAACCACTATAAATCACTATGCAAAGTTTCTATTTTTATTACTTCCACTCCAAAGATTTTTTAAAGCCAACTCACCCCCTCTTGGTGATCTCCAGTTGACCAATAAAGCCAGCAGTCAAATCCATAAAAAATGACGAGAGATTAATTTTATGAATAAATAAAAAAAAGAGGGGGTTTGTGTTTGTGTAGAATTGGAAAAAGTAAAGAAAGAAATTTAAAATAAAAAGAAATTTT